TGTACTCGTATAGTCGATTTCGGTGTTCGGTATTCGTTTTTAAAAAAACGATTCGTGTTGTTCGAACACATATACAAAATGGATAGTGTGTGTCGTTCATCTGTGTACGAACTAAAAATTTGCAAACTACATCATGGTACATTGTACACGGAAAAATAAAACCGTTATGTATGGCCACCTTTATACGTTTACTGTACCCTTTCTGTCCAAGCCCAACAAGTATATCAAAAAAATATAATATACAACATTTAAAATCAATAAATTAATACTTATTAATATCTGTTTTATATTCGCTATTCAGACGGACGAAATTAAATACATAAATTATCTAAACAAATTTCACAGAATTTATGTTATATTACATTTTAACGTAAAAGATGTATTTAAATACATTATTTATTAGATTATTTATAATTACTGTAATGACGTATCGACTATTATAATGCAATACGAATATTTTATTTTTAATGGAATAGTAATAATATTTAAGATAATGGTGTATTTAATTATAAATAAATAAATAAATATATAAATAAATCATCATCAGTATAGAATAAATTGCCAACTCTATGCAGAGTTTCTATGGTAACGAACGGTTTTTACTGGGACTGCTGTAGATCAATACTATTCTCCACTCTACCTGCTACTACCCTTGTTTTTTCCATGCAGCTCTTACGTTGTTTACTATATTTACGTATTATCTTGTCTGTTGAACACATTTGTACGTTGTGATATATCTTGTTTGTGACAATTCGTTATAAATTTATAAGTTGTTTTGTTAACGTGTTTTTAACAACATTAAAACAATAGATTGTTGATGAGTGTCGTGAAGTGTACTTAATACATTATTTTTGTATTTCATTATCTAAGAAAGTTTTGTTTAAAAAAAAAAAGTAAGCGAATTTTGATTTAATCCTTTATAAATAAAAACAATTTTTAATTATTTTTGATCAACGGCAATTATTTTTTTTTTTTAGAATGCACAGTTTTGGTTTACAATCAGCTTTGGCAATTCGCCGTCAACGTAAACGACGGGCTGAAATTAAACGGCACATGGAAAGACGACGCCTAAGCTCTCAATCAATAGAGAGTGGCATTCATGGTTCTAAATCTACAGTTACAAGTCCAACAGAATATAATGGTTCAGTTAATAGCCTGTCACATGTGCGAAGAAAAAGAAAAAGACCACCTAAAATGCTTGACACTAAAGTTGCTTCTAGCATTGGTATGTTTCATGTTGGCGTAGTCTTTCTCGTTTTGGGACTCTTCCTAATTGTATCTGGTATTATACCTGATGACTATGTTTCTTGGGGTTCAAAACACTGGGTTAATGAAATTGTAATAACTGGAATCAGTTCAACTATTATTGGCATATTTTTGCTTGTGTTGAATCATTTTATTAATCGTAAAGCAGAATCGGATTTAGCGGCTTATGTAGAACGCCAACTAACTAGAACAAGATCTGGTAGAAGACTTGTACCAGATGCGGAAACTGGTGCTATGCATACAAAACAACAGTATAGAGCAAGACAACAGGGTGAAAATGAACAACAAAATTCTCCAGGTTCTGATCTTGATAAGATAGCTGAAGAAGAAGCATCTGGTTCGGAATACAGACCTATTGATCAATATATCCATCCTGAAATAGAAAGACAGGATTCTGGTAGGATGCATAATGCTTATAACAGGGAATTATTGGTAACACGGTGTTATGATACCACAGAAACCTAGTAAGTTGTAGCAAATTAATTTAATAAATACAATTACAAGTAAGTTTTACATTGTACTTAAAAATATAATATAAAATATTTCAAAGAAATTTAATTCACATTAAATATTTAATTTTTAAACTTATTTCATTTTCCTGTTCATAAATGTATACATTAACTTCCTTAATTAATATTTATTTATATATTTTATACTTGTAATTTGATATTTTTATACTATTTAGTTGTCTTGATAGTTTTGTGTTTAAATATTGTTAATTTACTATAAATGCACATGTTTAATCAACTTTAAAATTTAAATTAATCATTTATAGTTTTCAAATACCATAAATATTGGTTTGCTTGTATTTGAATATTTTGATTTAAATAATTATATACATCCCTTGCTTTATATTTGTCCTTAACTGTGAAATCCCAAAGGTTTTAGATATTATTTTATTAGTATTTAATTGTTTATTTAGTAATTGTTTTTGTTATTTTATTAGATAAATTTATTAGGAATATAATTTAATCATTAAATTGTTAATCGTATGATACTACTATGGAGCTAATTTTAAATGTATGAATGTAATGTTAAATATTTCATGTGGAATTTTTTTTTGAAGACTGAAAATATTATTTTACATTCTATATTAGTTTATATAAATTATTTATTGCAATCAACATATTTTTTAATTCTTGCTCAACACATTTCTGAAATAAAAAACATTCAAAATTGAACATCGGGGATCAAAAGTATTAATCATTTATTTTAAGCCATGCTATATAATTTAATTATGTGATTAAACATAAAAATATATTTTGTTCCTAAGTTTTTAGTTTCCCCAGAAATCATATTGATTTTATTTGTATTTAGAGAATTTACCTTTGTGTTCATTACTAATTACTGGTATGAACCATGTTCTTGACTTGAATAAAAATACTTGCACTGTGATTTTTGTGTTTATATACTATTATATATCTAACTAATGATAAGAATAAGGCTATATGTTGAATTTTATGTAACTTATTGTACTTATCAATTATCATTATGGCTAATTATTCAAGTAGCAAATATGTATTTAAAATTATTATATTTATTACAATTGCTTTATATACTTAAATAAAAACAAGTATTATTAACATTTTAATATTTAAAATTATGAAATAAACTTTTTTAATTGTATGTTATTGTTTCTACTTATTATTCAATACTAAAAATGTTTTGTGTATATTAATAATGCAACTTATTTTTTCAGACAACTTATTTTCATCAAACATAATTCATATTACTAAAGTTTGAGGTAATCAGTATTTATTAAAAGTTATTATCTTTGGCCATTTGGGTATAAAGATATTTGAAATAATTTAATTTTGATCTAAAACATTAAATTAAATTTAAATTTGTTTAAAAAAAAAATATGTTTTCTTGTATATTGAAAATATTGACTATTATTTATAGTCGTAGTATTACAAAATACTTATACTTGTTTTAAATTGTTCTTTTATTATTTTAAATATTTTATTTATATTTTCTAACATGATATTACAACTAATTATTGGTTTAATAATAAATAAACTCCATCACATTTATGATATAAACTTTTGTGACTAAAATTTTAGATAGTAAGTACTGTTTTGATTTAATATTGCCTATTTAAATATTTACAGTAAAAATTTGTTGAATTCAAAATTATTATTTTGAGCTTCACATTATACATTTAAATTACAGTTTGCTAATTAATTTGTTTTAAAAGAGTAACGTTTCAGGTCAATTCAAATAAATTATACATTTATTAAATATAATATTCTTATATATTTGATATTTGTTATAAAGGTTTTCATTTTGAGTAACATGGAGGTATCAGTGTTTAATGTTTTTTGTGAAATTTGTGTTTTATGTATACATTATGCAAATTATTTAAATTTTTTTAAATATGATAGGTTACTAACTTTTCTGGGATTATACTAATTTCATTTATATTATAAGCAAACATCTGTTCACTTATTATATGTGTATATATATATAACTTAATTGTTTAAAAGCATAAGTATTAAATAAAGAAAAATAATATTTTAGTTAACATTCGTACTGTCAATTCATGACTCATAAATCATAATACATGTGTTTATAATCATTTATTGAATTTGATAAAATATAATTTCTATTTATTATATATTAGTTTTTTCGAGGTAATAAAAATGTATTGATACGCTCAAAATGTATTTATTTATATAAGAAATAGGTTTAAATATGTGTATTGTTAGATATAACAATGTAAAGTTTTATTGTGATTTTAATTTTTTTTTCTTCTTCTCCTTCACCTTTTCCCCAACTATTTGGGGTTGGCCACCCTTGTCCTAAACTTCCAATCTTTTGATTTTCTTTGTTTGTCCCTTACACACCAACGGCCCTCATATCATTCTCAATCATATCCAACCATCTCTTTTTTGGTTTTCCTCTTCTTTTTTCCCTTCGATGTTCATTTTCATAACAATTCTTACTACTTTTATTTTCTCTGGTCTCATCACATGCCCAAATCATCTCAGTTTATTTTCTCTCATCTTGTCCACTATAGACGCTACAGTGTAGCTAGTGTAGCTAATGTAGCTAACGGCTACACCAATACTAATAATTTATTGTACTAATTTACTAATACTTATTTTAATTTTTTTTACTTGTTGATTTTAAGTTAATAAATGAAAAATGGCACATAGTTATTATAGAATAAATATCTTATATAATGTACTTAAATCATTAAATTGAATACTAATTTACTATACAATTAAAATATTGGAAAACCTAAGAACCAAATAATATCTATGTATTATGTTTCCTTTCTATAGGTTGTTTAGCTCACGAGTATATAAGTAGAGAAACATGAGAAATATGGAGTTATGTTTAGGGACTATTCTCGGAATGTATGTCATGATAGATACACATATTAATATTCATTTAGGTGATATTATATTGGAGGCATACGTGAAAATAATTATCTGTAATTTCAGACTGTCGTTCTTGTTCTCGATAAGTTGCCGTCATTAGGTTACAAATTGATTGAATAATATCCTTTTTTTTTTTATTATTAATCACTGGGTTTATAAAAAATACAGACGAAATAACCATGATTGGAGCGATGCCTGCTGTGGCCGTCCGCCATGAGCGGCGGAGACAGGAGAAAAAAGTGGTATGCGTGAATAATCTGAACATCGGTGACCGAGAAGGTACTTCGTATACGACTGGAAATCGAAGACCGAGTCTCTTGACTCTGCAATCTCCACACTCGCAGACTGGCACTCCGATCACATCTCCACCGTATGCCCAAAACACACTGCCAGATATCTATGTCTGCTCAAAAGTAAGCCGACTACCGTCTACTCGGGGCCAGTTGTGTATTTATTTATTCATTTTTCTCAATTGGTCCCTGTTGACACTTTGACATTATTACTAGCTGACGTTATGTGAATTACCTACCGTCCAGTTAATTACCTCACCGTATATCTTACTGTCGTGTATGAATATTTATTTATACGGTACGTGCGAAATGTGTAGTTTTTGATTGTGTACAGGATGCGACGAATTTTTATAAAATTATTTTCTAAATGGTACCTAGTGTGAGTAGAGTGACATATTTTCTGAATCGTACCGTTGTGTACATAAGATAGGTACTATGTATATTTAATGTAATACCTATGTATTATAAGAAAACATACGCTTTTTTGGTGTAATCCACACCATCATGTACACAATCGTAAACCTGTCATTTAGATGATAAATAGGTATATTATAATATTATTATCGAAATAGCATTAAAAACGCTATAGCCGTACCTGCGTAAGTATATCACATGATGTATCATTAAAGCATGCGAATGAATGTAAGAAAAATGTTTAAGAGTTTTATATCTATTATCCAATTATTTTATTTTGAAGGATATACATTTTTTTTATTTTCGGTTTCTATTTTTTGACTAAAAATGTATTGTTAATTTATCATTGTTTATTTATTGCCATTATTATTATTTATTATTATTATTTTTGCTTTATTTATTTTCGCAATTTTTTTTTTTATTTTATTTATGTTCACCAGGGTTAAAAAACTGCATGAAATATTGATTTTTGCTGATCTGAGTGACCAAAAGGTATTTGTATCCAATTTTCAAAAAATAATGTTATCGATTTATGCAATTTTATTTCTCAAGTGCTTTATGGATTTGTTTGCACAGATATCGGTGTTGCATATAGCTGTAGTGACTATACTGATTGGGGCTATACTTCTGATAGTGGGCCTAGTCCAGTTGAAGCCAGGAGCAGACGCATCGCAGTACAAATTCCTGTTGATCTTTTCTGGTCTTTTCACCACGTTGATTGGTATTCTTATGGCTATAATCCGATGCTGCCTGCTACCATGGGTTATTAAAAGACGTCAGAGAAGATCTACTCCGTCAACACCAGGATTGCTTATGACTGCGTAGGACATGATATGTACATAAAGCGTATAAAATGATTAAGTTCTGCTTTTATCGGCTTAACACATACACACATACATACACACACACACACACACACACACACACACACCACAAAATTGTCGACAAACACATAGGACATAAGTGTAACACCTTGTTGTTTTTAAGATATCAAATTTTAAGTTAGATATTAATTTTTATTTTTCACGTTTTTGTCCATAAAAACAATCACTGGAAGAAATCGTCTTCCATCGTTTCTAGTTTGAATGCAATCGACGTACGAGTCTGTGATTTAACTTTTGCAAACATTTATTTGGTTTCAGTACGGCAAGAAAACGTTTATATGATTTGTTAATTTTAATGTTGGAATACTTCAATTGATAAGTTTAAAGCTACTCGGGGTTTATTGTTTGGAATCATTTATTTATTTGTTATTCAGTTAAATATAATTTTATTTCATAAATATATATCCACATTAATAATTATAAATGGCACATGGCTTATTAGTTAATTACCAGCAATTTTTACGTGTTGCTGATTTGTATCATACAAGTATACTTTTTTCAAGTACCTAAAGTATTTTTGGGACCAAAAATATAATCAACCAACATTTTTGGATAATAGTCCGATTCACATGCTACATATCTCTAAATAGTTTATCATAAATAAGTAATGTTTTCATTTTTTTTTTTTTTTTTTTTTTTTGCGTAATTTAAATCTGAGTATCTGTTTTATTATTGTTTGTTGGACCTATGGTTATTTATTTGGTTAGTTTTAATTACTTCAATGAAGTACCTATATGAACTTATTTAATATTCTAGTTAATTTTTAAGTTGAGACAGAAAAATCATGACAGCTCAAACTTTGATTTATACCATAATTTCTTAAATCTTCCATTATTATCCTTTGCATATATAATTTTGAATAATGTGACTGACCTTTAACATAATTGACCAAAGTTTAATTTAAATATTTAACCGATAAATCAAAAAACCGCAATGTCCTAATCAAAATATAGCCATTTTATGATTCGCTCAAATTTTAATTTTAATTAAGTATGTTCTATATTATTATTTAATGGCTTACCTAACATAAATTTGTTTAAAGAAACAAAGAATGAATTATTTAAATTCACAACAAAAATTCAATCATTTCGTTAGTGCCATTTTGACATAAATGATGATTTATCCTTACAAACTGAATTTTAAAACAAAGTTGAAATAATCTTGAAGCCAATTTTAAGATATTTTATATGTGTAAAAGAAAACTGAAAGTATTTAAACAAATATTAGGTAACTTATTTTCTAAAAATAAATTAGCATTTTATAACAATTTATTAAGAAATTTTTTTTTTTTTTTAATCTAATTTTTTATATTCTCATACTAATATTATCAATCTATAATTTTTTTCGATAATATTAAGAATGATTATAAAAAAGGTGTATGTGTATATAAATGGCTTATAAGTTGAGCATTAATTCATATAATTATTATAAATTAACAAAAATATTAAATAAATGAACAATGTTATGTTAAAAAACAATAAATATATATGTTTATGAATAATTTATGTAAAATACAATCTATTGAATAATTAATATTATAATATTTATATTGTATGTATAAAACCTTTTAGGCTCATATATTTTTATGTCATTGGGAATAACTTTTTTATTTACATGAGACTGTTTTTTGTGCCAAAAAATTTAATTATTTCTTATAATTTTAAAATTTCCAAAAAAAGAAATTCATGATATATTATTTTGACTTAATTTTTCCTTAATGTAATTCAATTGTAGTTGTAAATGTGTTGAAAATTAGTGATCATTTAAACCTTTTTTATAATCATTCTTATTAATTTCAAATAATTTCTATGATTTTATTTTGTATTACCTATTACCGTTCTAATTTAAATTTCCTGATATTTTTTTTTTAAATATTTTATTTATTTTGTACTGATACATGAATATATTAACTAAAATATCAATCACTCATGTTTATCAAAATTTTTCAAATTACAATGTATATTTAATATTTTTATTCTGTTTATCTGTTAACTTATATGATATTTTATTGTTAATGTTATTACAAATATTTTAAGAAAAATAAATATAAGTTACCTTCCAGGAATTTTTTACCAAGAAAAATTGTGATAATGTTAGTGTTTTTTAATAATGAAATGTAATTAAATACAAAATTAAAAATGTATGTTTGATATGAATATTTGTAGTAATTATGGCAGCTGCACTTATAATCCGCCCAATTTAATCTAATCATTTAGTTAGTTTTGTATTTAGTTTCCATTATTCATTAACATTGTTAAAAATTGTATTGTGTATAATGTGTATAAAATATTATACATACATATATATAAATATTGAATATCATATACTACTTAATTGCAAGCTATCGCATATTAAATTTAAATAATATATCAATCAAAGTTAAAAGCTTCATTGCAATGCTTAACAGAAAAAAAAAATCACTAACATTCATTTATATCTTATTTTCATAAATTAAGCTATTTTTGTATTGCAAAAAAATAAATAAATAAGTTTTAACAATTTAAAATACAATAGTACATAAGGTAAATCATATTAATACAATTATAAGTTAGAAAATAACTTATTAAAAATTGTGGTTTTTGTTGTTAAATTATTAATTAAATTATATTCTATTGTACCTTACAACCTGCCATGCACATAACAAATATTTAATTACATTTTAATTTTTAAGATTTACATATGGATTATGTTCGGTTTTTGTGCAACATTATTTTGTTTAATGTAACATTTGAGACTTCAGTGATAACATATTATATGAAAAATATTTAGCTATATATTGATACAATTAATAATCCATTTCTCTTATACATTTATGAAATGTTTATTTAAATGTGTTTAATAAATAAAAATGAACTTTATTCAGAGTTGACTTTGTATAATTTAATTGCTGGCTTAATAATTTAATAATTGTTGAGCTATACTAGTTTTTACTGATAACTCCTTTCATTATATTGTATCGAATTTTTTTTCATATAGGTACCTGCTTAAAATTTATATTATTCTATAAGTATATTTTATAAAATTTACTCAATTTTAAATTTTTCTCTGGGCTCTATTGGCTACATAGGAATAATTAGGTGGATAATAGAAGGGCTTAATTAACACACCCCAAATATTTATCTATCCTATACATAATACCTAGATAAAGATAAAAATTAATAAGTAAGAGTAATTTATCGAAGTTATACCAAAGAAAAAAACAAATCGGTTCTCTCTAAAGTAGAACTTTAGCTGAGTCCATTAACCGTAGGTGGTAGTATATTATTCTATGTATTTATATTTTATATATATATATTACCTGCAGATTTTCACAATTTTATTATTTAAAAATTGAATGAAATATTTTTAATAATATCATTATGGATAATAATTTTGGAAATAATAAGAGAAAGACGGATATATTTCAATCTTACAAAATTGGAAAAAAATTGAAAAAAAAAACACGGTAAGTCATTATAAGTATATGTAAAATAAAATTGTCTAGTCCAGCGGTTCCCGAATTTTTTTTTCTGCGATGCCTTTTTTTGGACCTAATTTAGCCAGGGGGGGCTAGAGAGGGTGATCGCCTCGAGCGGCATCGGATTTTTACACATACCATTTCATGTTGATGAACAATAATGTAAATTGGTTAATTTTTTTTTTTTTTATCTTAGATAAGATTGGAAATATTCATGGGGGGGTGCGGACAAAAATTGTCGACAAAAAACCTGTCCTTCAAAATGTAAATAAGTTAGTTGCCGTCGAGAAAGACTGATGAACGACTAAATAGTATGACTATATTAAATATTGAATCAGACATCACAAAAAGTTTATAGTATGATAACATAATCAATGAGAGTATATTTCCTTTAAAACTCGTAAAAAAAAATTAGTGAATTGCATAGAGTAATAATCTATGGTATTACTCTATGGTAAATTTTAAATATTGTTATGTAATAACATTGATTATAGAATAGATTTTCTATTCTATAATCAATGGTAATAATAATAAATAAACCTATTTTATATTTGTGACTGATTTATAAAGATAAACTAATGTTTAAAGTTTAAACTGTGCTTTCTTTTTCTAACAAATAAAAATTATTGAATGGAAATTTTTGATTAAATAATCAATGGGAACTGGTTCCACCAGAGAACACAAAGATTAAATACATTAAAAATAAAAATGTAAAAAAGAAGTTAGAAAGCGCTTGGAAAAATATCGATAACGTAAAGGCTGTTATACGGCCTACGGGTGGTTACTGGAAGGTAAGCTTCAGAATGCGTCGGAACGCGCTCAGTAGGTGAAAAAAGTTACATAATTTTTGTGGGGGGGGGGCGGAAAAACGTTAGCACCCGGCGTCAAATTTCTGAATACGTCTTTGCCTGCTGTGAATAACATTTAAGACAGAACAAAAAAAAAAAATATTTATTGATAACCAATTTTATTAATTTTATTAAAATTTTACATAATTATAAATGAATGCATTTTTAAACTTATAAGAAAAAACAATATTATATATTTTAAGCTATTTATTATGAACCGTAGACCGCGGTGCCCTTAGAAAGTGGTCTTAGTGCCCCTAGGGCACCGCGGTGCACAGTTTGGGAACCGCTGGTCTAGTCTATAATGAAATGAAATTTTAAATAATTTACTGTGGATATTTACTAGAGATCTTTAAAATCCTACTACTCTCGTAGGTGTATTTGAGTTAAAACGGGGGTGGGTGGAGGATGAAACTTATTTTTTTTCTATACACACTTAAAATAATTTACAGTTGATTACCTAAAGCTTCTGATGCTCATTCACTTAAATCAATAGTTAAATAATAAATATAAGTACCAAATTGAATTAAATATTTATGTAAAATGTATATTTATCAGTGGCGCCGAAGGCGTACTCCAGTTAGTTCAATTGAACTGCCTAGTAAAGTTAAAAAAAATAAAACTAAATTAATTTTTTTAAATATTAATCGACAAGTATTTTCTATTTAAAATAATATATTTAATAATTAGAAATTACATAGCAACTTTAATTATTAAAAATGTTTTCGTATTTGAATGGATAGTAAATTAGAAGGGGTGGGTGGGTAAATCTAATTATTTGAACTGACAGTCTCAGTTTCATTCGGCACCATTGGTATTTAATATACTGCGTATAAAATAGGCATAAATAAGAAAAAACCTCAAGGATGAAATCAGTACGATTTACGATCTTTATCAAACGGACTTTTTTTTAAAATAAATCGATATGAAAAATACGATCGTTGGGGGCCGAATGTCCCCTTCCTCCGTCAAAAAAAAAAAAAAAAAATTAAAAAAAATAGAGTACTCTACTATAAACTCGGGCTGTTGCTCTTTGAATAACCGACGGTATAGAGAAGAATCTTTTCAGTGGTGAATCCACAGGGGGGGGGTATGGTTAACCACCCTCAAAAAATCAGGAAAAATATATATTAAAAATCAATAATTTTATGAATTAAGGCGATTGGGCACCGGCCAATTTTTCTTTCAAAAACTACCTATTTAACTTCAATCGGTCCGACCAATGTATTGAAGCCATATGAGTTCTAAAAATGTATATGAATTCAGCATGAAGTCTACTTGAGATCGGTCGGATTACATTTTTTAATTTTGCCCTTATAATTCCACAAATTTGATTCAAGTTTTTTGAAAAATATTAAATATTGTAGTAGTGTTTAAAAAATAATATTAAATAAAACTGAAAATGTGGCCCGACCGATCTCAAGTAGACTTCACGCTGAATTCAAATTAATTTTTTAGAATTGCTATCGCATCAATACAACGATCGTACTGATTGAATTAAATGATGTACTTTTTGATGGAAAAATCGTACGAATCCTAGACAGTAGCCGTTTAAACCGACTTGTGCGTGTGCGTACGGTTATTTTTTTTTAAAAATATGAAGGAAAGTATTTTAGTAAGTTATTCATACAAGAAATTAGTAATCTTAGATTTAAATTAATGTATTATATTATTTGCTATTATCTTAATTCATTATCAATCACTGACTTCAATGTTATAAAAAAATATCTCAAGGGAATACATTTTTCAAAACCCCTCCAAAATAAATCCGCTACTGAATCTTTTCTACACCGTGGAGAAACCAATCATGAAAACTTCAAACTTTTGGTATCATAATTTTTACAATTAATACAGCAAGGAATTTAGTTCTGATTCAAACGACACACTGTCGTGCTATTGATAACCGATAAGAGTTTTTTGTTTGTTGATAAGAACAACTATTTGGGCATAGCACGTGTTCGGTGTGTTCTTTTTTCACGCGTTTCTTCAATTAATCGTATCCCTCTAAATACTTGTGCTTTTTTTATTTTTTTTTTTTAATTTAGTTTAATTTTTAAATATATAATTGCAAAATGAAAGTAAAAACTACAGTACCAAAACCAAAATCATTTAAGAAAAAAATACCTGGTGGTATAACAAAAAATAAAAAAATTTCAAAATCTACCAGTGGTGCTGTGAAAAAAAATATTGTGAAAATTACAGATGCGTTCGAAGTTTTAAAATGTGGTAACGATCTAACTGGTATTTCATGCTCAAAAGAACCTAAACCTGCAAAAATCAAAAAGTCTGCCAAATCGTCTAATGAAACAAACAAGATTGATGATACAATATCAAAAAGTTCTAAAAATGTCAAGAAGGGGTCTAAGAAGCCTGTTGTACCTCAAAAACAGAAGAAACCGAAGAAGGAAACAACCGATGTTGTACCAAAAATGTCAATGAAGTCAAAAATACTTGAATCTACTATGACAGAAGTTAATTCTGATGACAGTGAACCTAAGCTGGATATTGAAAAGGTAAATTTTAATGATTATTTTTGTGGTTTTATATCATTATTTTGCTAAATAAACTAATTTACAGGTTGAGGCGGCTGTGAAAGGACTTTTTATGTTATTAAAAAATCAATCAACTCAATCAAAAACTGAACTGTGGGATGAGCCCACACCTATACATTTAGTAATTACAGCAGTTAAAATGGGAGTAGGTCCAAAACGAGTTTTAAGAATGTTAGTTAACTAGTATTTGTTTTTCTATTTATATTATCTATGCTAAAAAATGTTTAATCATATATTGTGAATTTACATTTTAGAGCTCTACCAAATTCGTTGATTACTGATACAACTGATATATGTCTTATTGTACCAGATCTTATCCGTGGGCGAAATGTTGACCACGAGAAAACTTATCATCATTATAAAGATTTGCTTGCTCAAAAGGGCATCAAAAATATAAAAACAGTAAGTAAAATTGGTAATGAATATAATATTCTGTAATTTATTGACCAATAGCTATAAAGTGCAAACATTTATTTTTTTAATATTTTTTCTGAATTAATTTTATTTAATCACATTTTTGTGATCTAATTCATGTTGTTAATTTATTCAGAGAATTTGAATATTTTTTTTTACTCATGGTTTGAAATATCTACACTTCCATTCATTAAATCAAAGATTATTTTTTATGATAGTTGATAATGTTTTACTGAGAAAGTTAGGTATAATTTTTTATTACAACAATTTAGGTCATTACAATTAATGTTTCTGTCAGTTTTATCTTTATTTTAGTATTACTTTTATTTGCAATCAAATCATTAACTAATGCAGAATATTCTAACTGAACCACAGCTCGCAAAGCCTTTATATATTATATTAAAAAAAAAGTCTACTATATTTTAACAAAATTTTAATATGATTTTATAAATGGTAGGTATACATGCAATGAGTAACATTTAAAATCATTCAATACAGCTTGCTACATACATATGTTGATATTGTGTTCAGTGCTCGACTTGAAGGAAGTGGGGTACCCCAACTTATTTTCAGAAAGTTTAGCATCCCCTTCTATTATTACGTTATAATTATAAAGCTTAACAAGTTTTGGGGACACTCTTTTTTTTTTTTTTTTTTTATCATTAAACAGAGTCCCCTTTTAATTTTCCAAGTCAAGCACTGATTGTGTTTGTATAGCAACTACAGTGAATTCAAATTTATGTTGTAAAAGATCACAGAAGCCAGTCAAATCATTTATATAGCTAATTAAAATCAGACGGCGATATTGACTATCGATTTTACTTTTTTTTCTTTTGGAGGCTCCCATTGTTTTTATGAAAGTGTAAATTGGCCCCCGACTACAAAAGGTTGGATCACCTTGAACTAATGTATGAACAAATAATATATATTATAGACTGTAAAATATCTATTTTGTCTGTTTCATAAAGTAGTCTTGTTAGCTCATAATTAACTGCCATAAGACATATTTTACTGAAGTTCCTACAATCCTAATTAAATTATAAATATTACAAAGCAGAAAATATTAAATGATGAATACTTTTAACTCAGTTTGGAACAAATTTTGAATAATATTTTTTTTTTATTAAATGAACTTTAAAACTTTAATTAAGAAAATCTTATCATTTTTATTGATTGTTAAAATTTTAATAGTCTTAACTTTTTAGATATTTTTGTGATTATATTTCCTATCTTAATTTTATAAGACTTCCACTCATCGTTATTATGAAAAAATTATAACTTATTCTGTATTTAATTATATATACATTATTTACAATTTATACATAATAAGTATATTAATAATAATTCTAAATACATAGAATATATTGAAACATTTTTTATTCCTTGTAAATTTAAAATATTTTTGGAGATCTTATGAATCTGTATTCATATAGTTATTCTTCTTTATTATTTATTTTATGTAATTTCAGATGTCTGTTTAAGTATTCCTAAGAAAATAAACTTAATTTTTAATATACATATGTGAAAAATAATACTATTAAAAATTTTTTATTTTAAATTTATATACTTTAAATTTAGATTTTGCCAGCCCGACAAATCCGAGTTGAATATAATGAGTATGAAGCTAGAAGAAATTTATGTCATTCTCATGATGTATTTTTGATTGATCAAAAAATCAGTGCTTTTATGGTTAAAAAATTAGGAAAAGAATTTTATATTAAACGGAAGTGAGTTAATTAGAAATTTATTTAAGGATTTAATTTATATAAAATAAGTAGATAAAACTAAATTATTTTTTAATATTATTTGCAGGTTTCCAATTACGGTTAAATTGAATAAAAAACACTTAAAAGAAGAACTGGAATCTAAGTTACACAAGACATCATTTTTTCTTGATTATAAAGGCACAACAAAAACTGTTCAAGTATGTGATTCGATAAATATTTTTTCTTATTTTGTGTCCTTGTTTTATTACCTAAAATAAATATACCTAGTGTAATATTAATTAAATGTTGGATTGAATATATTATTTATAAAAATAAAAACTACAACTAAAGTTAAATTAAATCTTTAAATTCAAATTCTTTATTCTATTCCATGGGTTCTCAACCTTTTGAGGTCCACGCCCCCTTTCAAAATATTTTATGAGTTCATGCCCCCTCCCCCCCCCCTCTTCACTGGTATAAGATTGATGTGAAATCGTAATATTTTTTGCGGGTCACCAAAACTTGTTCTTATCGCGTCGAGTGTCGGTTTTTCGCCGAAACAATGCTTCTATTAATATCCAGAATACTAAAGAGCATAAATATATGATTTGTATAATCTTATAAAATCATAATAATCGCTCGGTGTATGTCTATTGATCGACCCCGGCGGCGATTAACACACCAGCAATGCACGGCGTAGAAAACGGCAACGTTTTCATTTTTCGTATTCTTTTTCAACATTTTCACGCCCCCCCTGAAATTTTGTCACGCCTCCCTAGGGGGGCGCGCCCCCCCAGGTTGAGAACTCGTGTTCTATTCATTGCTACTAAAAAATAAGTGGTCAAACATTAATGAATTATGAAACACAATTTGAATTATTTTTTGAGTTGTCTAATAATTTCCTTGGTTTTAATAAATAAGCTTAATAATATGAAATCTAAATTGATGTATTTGCAGGTTGGTCACATGCAGCAAACACCTAAACAGGTTGCGCAAAATATCATAGCTGTTTTCAAATATCTAGAATACAACTATCCAGGTGGTTTAAAAAATATAAGGACTCTATTGATAAAGACTCCAACATCTGAATCTTTGCCAATTTATTATTCAATGAGTGAGTCAATTTTTACTTTTATCGTAAATAATTATCAACTTACAATTTATAATTTAGTTTCTAGGAATGAAGTTAAAGGACCATACAGTAAATCTCAACTTTTCTCTAAAGCTAAAGAAGTTGAAGGTGAACTGTTTGGAAAACGTGTATTGGTTAAACCTAATGGAGATGTCACAGTTTTGTCTGTAAGTTTTATAAAATCTTATTCAAAACGTCTATACTCAGCAAGTTTTTGATATTGTGTTTAGGAATCTGATGAATCTGATAATGATGAAGATAATAATGTCAAGGTTGTAAATAAAAATAAAACAAATGATGATGAAGATTCTGATGCTAAAGAAGATAGTGAAGAAGATGAAGTTAGTTTTCTTAATTCATAATCATAAGTTATTTTTTATTTTTGGTATTTTATTCTAAAGTTTGTATTAAATATTAAAAATTTTAGCAATCAGATTCTTCAGTAAACAAAGAAGATGAGAATAAATCAATTAAAAAAAATGGTTCTGAATCTGATGAAGCTGATACTGAAGGTGAAGATGGTGATGATGCAGAAGCAGAATACTTAATAGAATTTGAACAGACCAAAAAATTACAAGTAATCATAGTGTTTAATATTTATTTTGTTATTAAATTATTAATTGGGTTTAATTAATTAGTCTAAAAAAAAACGAAAGCAAGAAAATGAAGAGTCTAATAAAACGGACGAAGTAAAAAATAAATTGTCAGAAAAGAAGTCCCTCACAATTAAAAATGTAAGTGTGTAAATCATTTTTAATATTTTGAAAAATTTTTTTTAATGTTCAAGAATAAATGTAATTTTTCTTTACAGAAAAAAGTAAATAAAGCAGTTGCAGTTAAAAAGAAGAAATTAAATAAGTAAATTTTTTATTTATGTGTTAAATCATATGTATTATGTTGGAATAACATTTTAATATTTTGACACTAATTTTATACCTGTGTATAATATATTATTTTTTTATTCTACCTTTATATCTTAATCAATAAAAATATTCTTCATTATTATTTTAAACTTGTACTCCAAAATTAGTATTGACTTATGAAGATTAAAAGAGTTCTCTATTTTATTATAAATTTAAAAATTGCTGACAATTGTATTATAGCCATTTTAAAAGCAAGATACAGACATATTTACTGATAATAGTTCTCAAATATTTCCACTATTGCTGTAACCCATGAATCGTGATCATGATTAGATTGCCTAGCTGATAACACGATACAGTTTATGCTTACTTTTTCTTAGACGTTTTTGAATGGCCACTTGCTACTCATGTCATCTATTTCCTTTCACATTTTTCAATGTATTTTTAATTTAGTACCCTAGTGCATTATTTAATACAACCTATAAACTCTATGTTACTGTAAATTATAAACTAAAAAAATGTTTTACAATAAAACTGATAAAAATTAAAAAAAAACATGAGAGACAGGTTGTTGTCTCACTTCGTTGAATAATGACAAAAATATTAATTTTTCTAACAAGATTTAAAGATGTATAATACTAATGGTTCTTAAAGTCTTATGACTATATAACCCTTAGGAAATAGTTTTGTGAACCCCCAATGTCATTAACTTAAGTATGCTTTTTTTTAATTATCTATTAAAAATCCAATATTCTAAAAAATAGTTCATGATTATTGTTTATTAAAATTATTAGTTATATTTTGTAAAATCCTTAGGTTTCACTGAACACACTTAGGGATTCATTATGTTATACATACAAAATAAATTGTTAAGAACATACATTACTTGTACTGGTTTTAAATTATAACATGTTTTTTTCTTTGATAGTTTTATTGTTCTTCATGATTTGTGGAAACAAAAACTATAGAAATCGAGTATATAATTGAAACTGAAAACAGAATGACAATAATTTTTATTTAATTCTTTCCATTTCTTCTACAAATATAATCTAGCTAATTTAGTACAATAATCATAAGTGATATCAAATTGTACATTAGTATGCAAAGCTGTTAGTTATCTATTTAATGGTTTAATAGGTTATTCAAGAAATATAGACATACGGAAAACAGTTTAAGTGATTTTTTATTTATTTTTACTTACTTTAAACTATAAATAGATGTAAGTTATATTTTTGTGAATTTTTGTACACTGAAATCTGCATGAATGTAAAAATGGGAATAAAAATTTATTTATAATGAACATCGATGGTATTAAAATCAGTGATGCTTAACCTTTTTTCCTTAGCGGACCACTTAGGTAAACAGGCATGTAGCTATTTCAAAAGGGGGGGTGTTATTCAAAATTATACACAACAAAATAAATACTTAACTTTTTTTTGTATTCTTTATTGTACAAGAATAAAAAGATATTAGTACATTACATATGAATATCTATTCATGTGTAATGTACTATTGTATAGGAAAGTATTTAAATATTTTATTAAAATTTCTAATTTACATTTTTGTCATACCTATGTATCTATTTTAAATCGCACATGATACGACATAAAACTACGGCTTCGGTTTATTAGACAAAACGGTGTCATGAGAAGTCGGATCCCGGCTTTACATTATTGTTATGTATATATTTTGTTATGATAGATATGTTTTCATCACGGTTTATGATGGATTTTTATCTCTATTGGATTTCAGTATACTGTTAACGCGGTTAAAGGTGGGGAGGTGTTACTACACCTGTAACACCCTCTCTGGCTACGCGCCTGTAGGTAAATAATTATCTTCTAGTGGACCACCAAATATAAAAGTACGAACACTGTTAATATTTTACTTATAATATAATTTTGTTGTCCATACTAGGTAAAAATATACATTAAGTTACATATTTGACTTGTTTTTTCTCTATTTGGAAGTGTCCAAAACTAAAATTAATATAGTAATTAAAAATTTGTAACGGTTACATAGAATATCTTCGTTGGACATTTGTGGTCCGATGGCCGGGGATCACTGTTTTAAATGAAGGTACGTACAGTGCTCGATTTGCAGGGGGATAGATCTCCTCCATTATTATTATTATTTTTTTTTTTTTTGTGTACTTCAACTATAATTTTTCACCGGAACGGAGGGCGTCCACGTTCACTCTAACTAATGTCCAAAATAATTTTTATTAAAATGTGAATTTCAATTTACGTCAGTTTCATAACGAATATTACGATTTATAATTTCAAAGCTATTTTTGATATTCGTTTATTGACACGTTGAGCTCCGCTAATATTATCACTTATCAGTGCCCAGCCTATGTTAGCCGAAATTACGTTCGGTCGACTAGTGACTACGCAGCACGGTTATATATGGAACAGTTCTATGTAGACACGCAGTACCCGTCGAATTGGTGACCCTCGCTCAGCAAAACGCAAAAAATATAATTGGTTGAAAATGAATTCTAGTGTGCGGTAAATATAATTCTACTTACGCTTAGTAACCTTATATAGGTACACGAGAAAATATGTTTTCATAATGAAAGATTATATTATGGTTATGCTAAGCGAAGACGTCGTCATTTCAGGAAAATAATAAACAGTAATGTCTGGTATGCAGGGGCGACTCCAGGGAGGGCCTTAAGGGCTGCGGTCCCCTCCCAAGCCCGTACCGTATTTATAAAAAAATGTATATTGTTTTCAAAAAATGCATATTATAATATGTACTACCATACAATATGCACAAGTATGTAGATAGTGCCATAAAGATATGACGGTTGAAAGGAGTTTCTCCACACTTCGGAGACTAAAAACCTGGCTTCATTCAATGATGACTGAAGATAGACTATCAGCATTGTGTCTAATTAATCTATATCATAAAGTAGATATTTTAGATCATATATATCATATTATTGATATTTTTGCTAATTTTAAAAATAGATGACTTGGATTTGTGTTGAAAAAATTGTTGTTTTCTTTTTGTTATAAGATTTTGTAAAATTATAACTTGTCCCCATCCTAACCAAGGCTCTGGAGTTTCCCCTGTTGGTATGTACAGTTATAATTTGGTAGATATATACTTTATTCATTTTATGGTTTGTTATTGATATTATCGATATTGATATTTGGATTTAAAATATTTGTGTAGCTGAAAAGTGGTATTCAAAATGTATGTAAGGTTGCTTGAGGGGGGTGTTGGAGGCGTTGTCCCCCACGAGTCTGTGTTAAATAATTGCGCACGTAGAACGCAGTTTTTAAATCATTGAACCGAGCTCCTCTACTTAATTTTTCCCACTTCAATCACTGGATACACAAATCAAATAATTAAAATGTACTGACAACTAAGAATCACGGGTGAGTTTAAGGGTGTGGCTAAGGGGGCATTACCCCCCACCCTTAGGACTAAACTATCTATTTTACAAATCAAAGTATTATTATACATTAATAATTATAATAAAATACCACCAATGGTCATTGATGAATATGGTATTTATTTTATATATTTTTTTTATAAATAAATAGCTCACTTTTGTTGTTAATTATATGTATTTACCTATATTTTAAAATGGTTTCAGATTAAAATTGATACCAATAATATAACTATTTAAGCTTTGTCATTATTGTGAAAAAAATGACTTACTTGTGCGGGACTCAAAAACATATTCTGTAATTTAAAATTGTATATAGATTTAAAAAACCAACCAACTAAATTCTTAAACCTTCATTAGCCCCTCCCTTGGTTAGTGATAAAACCCGCCCCTGCTAAGAATTGTTATTAAAATTGTGTATCAGGGATGATCGTTCAATTAAAAAACATTGGTCATCCGAATCTTAATTATTATGTATCGAGTTCAGAGGAATACATAAACAGTATAGAAAGTACAAAGTCTCGAATTTATTGACTTTGTATATAACTGATTATAGGCGTCACTAAGGGATATCGAGGAGTATCTTTGATGCCCCAGAAATTACTGTGGGGTAAACAAGGGTATCTTTTTGCTACCCCAAAAAAAGTTATAGATTTTAAAAATGTATTCGAAGTTTATTTTTCAAGTGTGTTCGAACATAGACCATCTATTATTGTGATTGTATCCAAAATAATTATATTTTGTGATAAGCCTAATATAGATAACAAGACAGTGTATACACTATACGTCATACCAATATTTATGAAGAGTTAGCCAGTTAGTCAGTAAGCCAGTTATTATGTTAAACCTTTAAACATTTATTTTGTAACTTTTTTAAAATAAACTTTGCTACCCTAAATACCCTAAAATGTGGACTTTAGTGACGCCCATGTAACTGATGATGGATTTTTAACTCGAAACCGGTCGTACATTACAAATATAGTAAGCATATACTTACGAAATAACATTCTTTATTATTAGATTCATTTGAAATATTTAAAAACTCAACGATATTACATCGAGTATCATTTACATTTTAAGTATTTTTAACATAATTCGAAAATATAAAAATCCTCAAACTATTTAGATTTATATTTTTCGCTAATTTATTCATGATTTATTATTACCATAGAATTGAACCTATTGTTTAGGTATGATCTGGTTTTTGTATTTGCGTACGGTCTCAGTCCTGGAACAAAGTAAAAATTTATCGTTTTTATTGAGCTGTGGGAATTGTGTGACTGTAACTAAATAATGTATACGAGTACTCATGTCAATTGTATCCACAATTAGATTTGCCGTGGAGTTTTTTTTTTTTGTCAATCTTAAAAGAATTGGTTTGATGACGAACGAGTAAAAAAGTTTACAAACTTTTCCTCATTGCCCTTCTGCGCTGGGCGATTTTTTTTAGGTACCTACCTACGTTTGACTTCTGTCGGTTAAGTTAAGTTAAGTGTTTACACGGTATTAAACAAGTGAGCTTATTACAATAATAATTTTGGTTTATATTTCGTGTTAGTAGATTGGCTCAAATATCACTTACATTTGGGGTAGAAC